TAGCCGATCTCAGAAAACTCATCACTGTTTTGCTCAACAACATCCTGAACATCCACTTAACACTGAGTTTATTTATTTTTCTGATAAAATTGCACTGAGTGACAGCAGTAAACAAAAACTGCAATGTCCGTAGGATTTCTTTCACGTGTAAAGGTGTTGATGGCCTTTGCCTCAAGTCCGTTACAGGTGAGAACAAGAAGTACTTCTCCTAGTGAAGTCCCCACCAGCATTCTCTGGGCTCATACACAGTCTTCCAGGCTCATGAAATGGGAATGTGGTGGCTGCTTTTCCTTACCTCCACTTTTATATTAAAGAAGCACACAATCACTTATATTGATTTAGTAATCCAGCAAACAGTAACTCTTCCATTTTCTGATCCTGGAATGCACTGAAGTGCTCTTCTGTGCTGTAGCACACCTGACCAAGATAAAAGAAGGAATGGCAGTGTTTGCAACAACTTCTCAAGTAGTGAGCCTTCTTTCCCTATCAGCCTGCAATTGCTCTGCACCTCCCTTCACTCACATTCAGGAACTGGCACAAGAATTGTTTATGGCTTTTCAAAAGCCTGCTGACTTCCTCCCATCTCCAGTCTGGGTCTAGAAGCAGGCACCGTGCTGGCTGGAGCCTTGCAATTCACTTTTTGCAATTTAGATTCCCTACTCGTCATCAGGAGAACCTACCGGTTTTAAATCGTCGTAACTTTAAGTCCCATTAATTATACATGCACTGTAGTATATATATGAGGGTAGAGACACAGCTCTGGAGAGTGCTAAACAAAATAAAAAAATGTAAGCTAAAGAGCTTCAGAAGGAAATGGGTAAACTTTGGCATAAAACTTGAGCTTATTATGAGTAATATGTTGAGAAGGTTGCTCTGCGGAGTCACTGAAGTTGCTTAGAACTGATGATGGAAGATAAAAATTCCTGCACCTGCAGGCTTGCAGACACCTCAGTCTTGTAACACAACTTTCAGCATGTGAGACAACCTCAACACACCACAAAGCTTGGGGGCTTCTGTCAAAACAAGGGAAAGGATGGCTTGAGAGCTGTCACTTCCATCACTAATTCATAATGGGAGAATCTTAGGATTTTTATTCAGTATTCTGTGCAGTATTCTGTGCTGTATGCTGCAGGCTCCAGGGGAAATGAAGGAGCCTGTCTGGTGTAAACTCTAGAGAAAAACAGGGTGATGGTTCTGCTGCTCTGACTGGTGGGAACAGTTAGTGATGTCCCAGTGGCTCCTGCATGCTGCAGGGAGCAAGGATAGGATAGGGTCTTAGTATCTTGGTCATAGCAGACGGCAGTCTCAGATGAAATGGAGCAAAGCAGTGGCTTCATGAGGGTCTCCGCATAGGTCAGTGATGGAGCCAAGGCTGGGAGCTGGACCAGAAGTTTAGTAATCCTAAGCAAGAATCCCAGAAAAGCTCTAGGGTATGTTCAGAGAATAAGGAGAAGATAGCTCTCATCTTGGAGTCCACAACTTCTATCAAAGTTTATATACCTGCAAATGCTGTGTGTTTTTTAAACGATCTTTTCTGAATAATTTTGCTACATAGTGTTTGCATGTCTGGTATATTCATTCTACAAGTCAAGACCAATCCACTTTCTGAAACATTTCTTCCATAGATTCTCTTCTGGAATATAATCTGCTGGTGTTGGCTGTGACATGCGGCCCAACATGGGATCTCGCCATCTGTGCTGATACCCCTTGGGATGAGATGAATCTTATACATATTTTGTGCAAGGCTCCTCGAATATAAAATCAGATAGAATAGACGAGTACAAAGGGGTGAATGTCCCTGGTTTCCTTTCATTCAGTTCCTTGCTGTCCTGTTCCAGAAACCAACACAGCTTACCTTGAAAATGCATTGGTCCTGTACCCCTTTTCAGTTTTACAAAAATGACACCAGATGATTTGTTTCCAGGGGACTTCCTAGCCAAAAGCAGGGGGAACAAAAAGAGCAAAGAGACTCCACTCAAACTGTGTGAAGCTGCCATTATATGTGAGGACTGGGATACGATTCATCATAGAATCATAGAATCATAGAATCATAGTATCATAGTATCATAGAATCATAGTATCATAGAATCATAGAATGGCTTGGGTTGGAAGGGACCTCAAGGATCATTAAGTTCCAATTTGCCTAGATCAAATACTAGACCAGACTTCCCAGGGCCCAATCCAACCTGGCCTTGAAAGCCTCCAGAGATGAGGCATCCACAACATCCTTGGGCAACCTGGCACCTTACCACTATCTCAGTAAAAAACTCCCCCCGACATCTAATCTAAATCTCCCTTCCTTTAGTTTAAAACCATTGTCTGGAAGAGAACATTTTACCCCAACTCCCTTGATCTCACAGCTGCCCCATGCCCGAATATCTCTAAGGGTAAAACTGAATTTGCATGAATATAACCACCTCTCAGCATTACTTGTCTTTAGTTAGAAGACAGACAGTGAATGCTTTGTTGAAAGGGCATGTTAACCAAAGCACATCATGAGTTCATGCTGAATTCACAGATGTCTTCATGTTAAAACAAAATATTATTATTAAAAAAAAAAAGGAACGTTTAATTTGTCCCTTTCAAAATCCAGTGCTTTGATTTTTCATTTTAAAATGAGTATCCATTTCCAAAGGTACTTCAAGATTATTTAAATCACATATTAAAAAGTGGAAAAGGATTAAGAAGAAAAGTGTAGAAGAATTCAATTTGTCAAAACACTTCTTAAATAGTAATTTCAGACTGACCCCAAGTCACTTTCTTCCATTAACACTTGGATTTTAAGTTGACTGAAAAAAAAAGCTAAAAGTCCACTCTTTCCTTCATGGCTGCAAATATTCACACACAAAAAAAGAAGAGGGCACAATAACTTGTCTGTTCCTGTACAGCTGTGAAGCATTAAGTCATCTGGCCTCATCCTTTTGTCTCTCTCTATCCCACTCCTTTGGACTCACTGTTGGAAGAAAAAATGATATAATGTAAGGAACTGGTGAAATGTAGCAAAGCACCAGAACATAAAATTGCAGAAAGTCTCTAAGTCCATCAATTTGGCCAACTCTTATTCATTAAATAAGAGTTCCACATTTATATGAGGCATGTGACCAGGTTTTGTTCTACCAATTTTTCAAAGGACATACGTGTATTTGCATCTGCAGAAGAAGATTTGATATTTTCTTTTTTATCGAGTTTCATCCATTTGACTAGAGAGCAGTTAACATCCCAGGTGATGGGGTTTGATGGAGGCTCAAAGTGACCTCCTGCCTCCACGGCTTCTGGGTGCTGTGCAGATGTATGCAGTGCACACTGTGCAATGTAACTCAACCCTCTTCCAGCCACAGTCTTGGCTTTTGTCTCATTCATCCTTTCCTCTATCTCTAGCAGAAGGCAGGGGATACATGTATGTTGAATTATGTGCTCATATTGCTCTTAACGAACAAGCAGCAACTGTGAATGAAAATGGAACTTTTAATAAATGAACAGAAGAAGGGCTAAAATCACTGGGTAAATCATTCACAACCTGCCCTAGTGGGGAAGTGCAATGAATGTCCTATGTTACAGAAAGAAAATACAGCTCATTCTTCCAAGCAGTGAAGTCAATGAACGGCAAAACCTTTTACTGACTTCAGAGGCCAGAACCTAGCCCCAAACCAGAGGGTTGACATTCAGCTCTTCTCTTGTAGGTCTCAATTGTGCTTAGAACTGCTTAAAAGCCAAGAGGATTGTTTCTGTTTGGAGGGCCCCAGACTAACTCTGTACACTGGTCACTGGACAACCAGGTTATGTAGGTTATACCAGCTTCAGCTGAAAGCAGCTCTCCCACAGCCAGGTGTGGTGCACTGCTCTCAACTCAAAATTGCTCTGCCTTGATAGTGGTAGCGCCACCAAACCAGTTTGGAACTCTGAATCACAGAGTCACAGGATGGTCAGGGATCTCTGGAGATTAACTGGCCCAACCCCTGCCCAAGACAAGGACACAGAGCAGGGCGCTGGGGGCCACTTCCAGAAGAACACGTCAGGCCAGGTTAATTTCATAGAATCACAAAATGTCTTACGGTGGAAGTGACATTAAAGATCATCAAGATCCAGCTCTGTTATGGGTGGGGTTGCCATCCACCAGCTCAGGCTGCCCAGAGCCCCATCCAACCTGGCTTTGAGCACCTCCAGAAATGGGGCACCCACAGCTCTCTGAGCAGCCCCTGCTGGTGCCTAACTGCCCTCTGAGCAAAGAACGTTTTCCTAACATGAAACCTAAATGCCTCCACTTTTAGTTTAAAGTCAAGCCCCCACGTTCTATCACTATCAGACCACATAAAAAGACAGCCTCCCTCCTGCTTGTAAGGTCCCTTCAAGTACTGGAAGGCTGTGATTAGGTCTCACCAGAGATGCCACCACTGCTGGTGGCAGCGGACCGTGGCCACGAGTGGGGACTGTGACCACCCGAGTGGATGTGGGGGTGTGGGTAAAGCCTTGGAAGGTGGGCTACCAGCCCACAGAACCTCCCACAGCAAGAGGGTGAGCGGCCACCGCTCCCCTCCAGCCACCGGCGATGGGGACACGCGGCGATTGGGAAAAGGAGTCCCGAGCACCGCAGAGAGAAAAGGGACGCGAGGCTGTGCGGCACCAGGGCTTCTCTCAGCGCCCGGAGGGACGCGTGAGGCGAGAGCCGCGCAGGACCACATGGGTTAAGTTATGTAAGCCATTTGGGGAGGGGTGGACGAAGGGGGCGCTGCCGGCGTGGCTGCGGCGGCTCAGGTTGATTGAGGGCGGATGACAGCGGCCTGGCGCAGGCCCACGGCGGAGGAAAGCGGCTTAGCCCCCTCCGGGTTGCCATGGAGATAGGCGGGCGGCGGCGGGAGCGGCGGCGGCGGCGGCGGGGCTGTCAGTGAGGCTGCACCGGGCACCAGGCGGCGGCGGCGGAGAGGAGGAGGAGGAGGAGGAGGAGGAGGAGGAGGAGGAGGAGGAGGAGGAGGTGGAGGAGAAGGCCGCGGCGGGGAGCGGCGGCGGCAGACATGGACTCGCACTGCGACTGTGCCGAGCCTCCGGCCGCCGAGCAGCCGTCGGGAAAGATTAACAAAACCGCCTTCAAATTGTTCAAGAGGAGGAAATCCGGGGGCACCATGCCGAGCATCTTCGGGGTGAGGAGCAAAGGTGGGGAGGGGAAGGGCGCGAGCAAGACGGGGATGGTGCGGAGCAGGACGCACGATGGCTTGGCCGACGCCGTGCTGGAGAGCGGCAAGAAGGACGACGGGGGCGGCGGGGAAGCGCGAGGGAAGGATGCTCCGAGCAGGGCGGCCGGCGGCCTCGGCAGCTCGGCCGGCGGCTCGGTGGCCAAATCGCACAGCTTCTTCTCCCTGCTGAGGAAGAACGGGAGGCCGGAGAACGGCAAGGCGGCGGAGAACGCGGAGCAGCGGGCTGGCGGCAGACAAAAGAAGGGGCTGAAAGGGATCTTCAGCAGCATGCGGTGGCACAGAAAGGACAAAAACGGCAAAGAGGAGAGGGGAGAAGCCTCAGAAATCCCGTCCGGTCTTATTATGCCGGGGTCTCTGACTGCCAGCTTGGAGTGCATCAAAGAGGAGACGCCGAAACCTTTGTCTGAAACTCCGAACGGCGCGGGAGACGCCGGTCCCGAGTCGCAGCGGGAGAAGCGCGGCGGGGACGCGTGTGGCTCGGCCGGGGAGCCCGAGGCGGGAGCTGGGGAGTCGTGGGACGGCAGAACTCCCCCCGGAGAGGACCCTGCTGCTGCTGCTGCTGGAAGGAGACTCGAGGAGCTCTGCGGTGAGCGACCGGACCCGGGCACAGGAGAGGTTGGGACTGCGAAGGATGCGGCCATAACAGGTGACGTTCCAATAACGACTATTCCCCCTGTTGAACCTCACTGTGATAGCGGTCAAGAGACGGCAGCCGCCCCTGACCCTTCCTCTGTTGATCCACCCTCAGAGCAGTCGATTGATCGTATTTGTTTGATGTTTGCTGACGTGACTTCACTGAAAAGCTTTGACTCTCTTACAGGCTGCGGAGATATTATTGCGGACCAGGAGGAGGATGTGGGCAGCGGGAGTGGCAGCTGCGAGAAGAGCACCCCCGGGGCCAGCAAGCTGGGCGCATCCAAGAAGCACCCCACCATGGTTGCCTATCAAGGAGGAGGGGAGGAGATGGCCAGCCCGGACCAGGTGGATGATACCTACCTGCAAGAGTTCTGGGATATGCTGTCACAGACAGAAGAGACCGAGACAGGAGGAAGAGGAGGAGGTGGAGGAGGGACAAAGACAGCCGAGGGCCTGAAGGAGAACCAAGGTACTGAGGGGGCCCAGAACAGAGTGGTGGTGAAACATGGTGGCCTCAACCAGATCCGCATTCACCTCAACAACAAAGAGGAGCAGAAGGGCAGGGAGAAGGAACAGCACGAAGGTGTCCCAAATAGTGATGAGGGCTACTGGGATTCCACCACCCCTGGTCCTGAAGAAGACAGCACTACAAGCATCCAGAAGGAGACCCTTCCCAGGGACAGCTACAGCGGGGATGCACTCTATGACCTCTATGCTGAGCCTGATGAAAACCCACCAGGAGGACCTCCAGAAGAAGAGGTCACCTGTACGCCACGCTCCAAGCCTGTGTCTCCAATAACGACCACGTGCTCACTGAAAACGCCCTCAAGCACAGTGAAGGACTCCAAAATACCCATCAGCATTAAACACCTTGCATCGCATCCTGCTAGCCATGGAACAGATACCAGTAACAGCCATCACGTTGCACACCATCACCTGGCCAAAAGTGAAATGCACAGAACAAAAATCCCTGTCTCTAAAGTACTAGTACGCCGAGTCAGTAACAGGGGCTTAGCAGGGACGACGGTGAAAGCTGCCACATACCAGGACAGTGCCAAAAAGTAATTGAAGAGCAGGTGGACATAAAGATAGACAGCAGGATCAGTATGTGAAAATCTGCATAGGAGGCCACAAACAGTGTGTTAATTTTGCATTGCCTGAAGGGAGGAACCTGAAAGGCTTATCTCACTATACTATGTCGGCCTGCACTTCTGAATCTGTACGGCTGAATACAAGAAGACAACTTTTCAAGCACTTTTTTTTTTTTTTTTTTTACATTTGTATCTTTTTTCTGCAGCACTAAGTACTGGGGAGGTTCATTTTAACATGCCTTTGTGAAAGCAGAACTTGGATTATGAACCTAAATGAGTATCTTCCCTCATGCAAAGCAGTGCCACATGTTCTTCAAGGGAGCAAGAGTTACGAAAGGAGCGACATAAGAGGTTCCCCACTACACTTATCTCTTAATTGTTCCTGGGGAGGAGTGGGGGGAGGGTGCCTGGCGCCAAAAGTAGTGTTTGGTCTGCAAGATGTTGGAGAAAAATACCAAGCAAAAAACAAACATCCTAACAGGTATTTTACCTGATGTAGGAATGAGAGCACTGCTCAGCAGCAGACTTGATTGACTTATGTGCAGTAGCTAATTAAGGAGTTAGGTGGATTTGTCCAACAGGAAAATCTATTTTTGTTTGTCTGTCTGTTTGGTTCGTTTTGATCTGCTCTAATGTAATTGGGTAACAGAGACACCTGACGTAGGTTCAGATGTTTACATCAATACTTGTCCAATAATGCATATAATCAGGTTCAGGGAAACAATTTACTAAATGCCAATATATACACACTGTTCACATTTATACAATAACTTGCTTGCCATTTGTAAATATATACATATTTTAGCAGATTTACTCAATGATACAAATCTTTTTATAGAAAGAAATCACCTGTCTGTATTATCTAGAGTTTAAACAGAAGTTAGTTTTTATAGGTAGATAATTTTACAGTTCTAAAATGATAGAACTTTGTGTAAGTACCTTAAATTAGAGCAAAACTCTGTTTTGTATGGGCTCATGCATCCCCAGTTAAGTAAGTCTGAAGTGCTGATTTAATTCGAGTGGCACATTCCATGTCAGAGCAGAATTTCTGACAGCATTGCCATTGCAAACCTCTATTTTCAGGGGTTTAGACAAAGTTACTCTGGGCTTAAATCTTACAGAGGAGGAACCCAGGAAAGAAACAAGTTTTTTAATTATTATTTTTAAAAATATATAAAATTAGTTTTTGACTATTTAAAGAAAGTCTGGGTTCTTGTTGCTTTTTATTTTCATTCTTAATAATAATTTTACTTAAAGAGATGAAAAGAAATATGGTAGGCTAATGGTCCATGAAATGGTCTGATGAGCTTGGATCTTATGAGAAATGTATTAATGGTCAGCATGTTTTTGAGTGGTGGCTACTGTACGTGGACACTGACAACATTTCCAAGAAATTTAATAGGGTTTTAATGTGCCTGAGGACATATTTTTATGATACACTGAAAAAGCTCCAAAAATCACTGAAGATTAAAAGCGAATATTATGTATTTACAAAATATTTTGATATGAGTATTTAATCATCAGACCACAGCTAATATAAAATATATGCTCCGGTGTATCTTACAAATAATATACATTTTAAGAATATAAGTCTATATTATGCAGAGAGTCCTAAATTCACGTAACTGAAGCTAATGGGTCTGATCTTATATAGCAGTTGGTTTTACTGTTTCTTAAACTGAAAGAAAGAAAAAAAGGAAAGTAAATATACAGGATATACATTTGAAGGATATTAAGGTTACAGATAAACCATAAAAAGCCAGGAATAACATATGTCTTATATGTGTGGTTCACTGAGGTGATGACCTTATGGTCACAAGAGGAGAACTGGCATCTGGCTGTGCAGTCACTGCAGGACGGAACACCAAGCCGTGCCACCCCAGTGACTAGGGAGAAATTGTTCTTTTCTGCTCAGTCCCTGCTTTCGTGGTTTGAGTAAGAACCTTAATACACTTCACAGAAGATAATTTTGTATGTCTCCCTTGTAACATACATACGTGTGGTTTCTACATGCCTACTCACACAGACAAGTTGTACATATGCATGCCCAGTCAGAGCGCACCTCCTCCCAGCGTGCATGCACACGGGCAGACACGCACCCTGCACTCTCACACCTGTGCAAACATGGCCACGCATGCACACTCCTACATGCAGACTGAGGGGATGCACCACCAATCTGTTTCACAACACGCTGGTGATGATTGCCTGAGAAAGAGGTTTGCATTTGGCCTAACTCTGCTTATGCATTTTAGAAAGTTAAAGCTAAAATACCCTCAAAAGGTTGGATGTACAGAGCATTGAATGTTATCCTACTGTTCAGCCCTAAGCCTAACATCCTTTTTTCTGTTCTGTTTCCATGTGACTATAAGGAGCATATCTTTCCTTGCATGACAGCTCTGCTAAAAAATCATAATTCTCCATTGTGTTTGATGGACAGATTGTACAGGGAGATTCTATAGGGTACTGGAAGTCGAGAGGGAGGGAGGATGCGGTGGGCTTGGGTAATACACAGAACTGGAAGCACTGATTGCAGGAGTATCAGTGGTGCTTCTTTGAATCACTGGAAGGTATCAGCTGCCATTTCTGCAGGACTTGTCTGTGGCAAATTATTCCTTGTATGCATTTCGTTTGCGTTGTGGCGTGTATGTATCAAGAAACCGATTGACTAACAGTAGACTAGCTCCCTCTCACCTACTGACTAACAAGATCATTAAAATGCTTTGGCTGCCCTTCATTTTCTCTCTCTGTTTTCTGCCCTGTTTTCCCTCCTTCCCCTGCATGCTGGCTGCTCAGTGCTGACTGCGGTGCGGAGCGGGCAGCCCTGGGCTGGAGCCCAGCATGGGGTGGGAGCACATCTGTGCTCACCTGCCAGGCCAGGTGCTCTCTGGTCATTTCTGTCATGTCCCTGTGTAAGTATGTCCTGTAGATCCCTTGGTGGTTCGTTTGGCTGCTTGCTGTGTACATATTTTAAGGACAATCATATCCTTAAAAGGAAAATGGGAAAGTAACTGTGGTAGGGCGTCAGTGTTTTGAATCATTGCGACACGCTGACACTGATTCAGGGTAATGGTCGTGTGAGAGAAAAATACAATGTAATGCTCGGATTAACTTTATATTTATAAAACTCACTTTTGTCTTTAAGCCATCTATGTTAATCTTCCAAAAGGTAATTGAAAACGTAATATTTACTAGGGCTTTCAATTGTTATGGAAATATTTGTATAACTCTGCACAATGCCTGAAACAATCACTGAAAGGAAGTTCAAAGGCTTTCTTTACACCTGTATTTAGTTCCTGAAAGATTCCTGTAAAATACTGTGAGATGCCTAATAACAAACAGTTAATGGCTTGCTGGATTTAAAGGCTGAGACACATGGAGGTAGAAGTCCTGAGGCATTCTGTGGTGCTTTGCATCCTTATTTATATTACTGTGTTCAGGCATATATTTTCCCTGGCTTCAGTAGGTATCGAGGTAGAAGTGTTCTGAGTCCCAAAGATAACGTTCCCCATTCTGTAACAGTTTCAATTTCCTTAAAGAATACTTTTGTTTACTTGTTTTCTTTGTTGTTTTGTGGTCCAAGTGATGCTTTGTAATTACCAGCTTGTATGTCATTCATAAAGGATTTTATAGATCAGAACTTGGCATTAGTTCTATATACTCTTTGCACTTCCAGGTCACTGCTGATTTGTATGTTCTTAGGCTGTTTCTATATATTGTGTAGCGTTTTTAGCTATCTACTGTGATTTCAGTGGTATACATTCCTGTCCTATATATATCAGCACAAGAGATTTCCCTTTTTTAGCATGAAATGATGTTTTTGTGGACTTCTTTTGTTACAGTAGGAGTTATCTGTGCTATACGTGTGGCCTGCACCAGACATAAAGGCTCTTACGTTACCCGTAGTGCATTTTGCTCTTGCCAGTAATAGGACTCAAATCCATGTAACAGATTTCAGAAGAAATTATATGACTAGAATAAGAAACATCTATGTTCATTATTACTCCATCAATCACCAGCACTTCCTTCATCCACTGTGAACATCCTTACCATCATTCAGGGTAGTAGAGGACTGAATTTTAAAAATTACGTGCACAGATGTACACTATGAAAATTAATTCACTGATTATTTTTTAATGAATCTCTTACTAAATTATTTATCTAAGCTAAGCGAATATTGCACCAAAGTCTTCAAAACATCTGATACAGATGGCATTTTCAGTAAGATGCTATCAGTGCTATCAGATGAGCCAAATTAACGGGCTTTGCTTAGCAAAGCAAACCCTAGTTGTTTTTTAGATCTGTAGTGCTGAACGAGCTTGCAGATCAAAGGGAGCCATTGATTCTGCTACGTGGCCATGCTCTGAGGTTTTTTTTTGCCTGCTCTAATGGACTACTTTCAGAAAAGGCTTTTCAGCAAGATAATGGTACAGACAGTTCACGGTAACAATAGCCACTTATAAGGCACATGGTTATCTAACAGTGATAATAGGGGACTTCAGGCAAGGTGGCCTGGAAATGTATTTTCATGGTTATCGATATGAAAGGCTAAGGCTTCTGTCTCAGAAACCAATTTGACAACAATTAAAGATGTTGCAGGATTGACTCTTGGCAGAGCTTACACGTGACAGTTTCCGCAGTATTTTTTTTCTAAGTTTGGCTTTTCCCTTTTTTATTTTGATTTTGGTTTATGCTTTGTTTTTGTTTGTTTTGCTTTGTTTACATTTTCATTACGATGACACAGCCCTATTTGTCCTGGCAGAACTGCACAACAACTGACTCATCTGAGAGCTGCTGCCACTCGTCCTTTGGTAGCCTGGGACTGCTCCCCGTGCAGCATCCCTCCCTTCCACTGCGGGTTTCCCTTCTGATGGTTCACATGCTGTTTGCTGTGGGCAGAAAGCATCCAAATCTGTCGCACTGATTGCTTTCAGAGGTAGCTGATTTTTAGTCTGACTCATGGAAATTTTTTAGATTGTCTTTAGTTCACATCTTGTCTTCTATGTGGGCATCTTGGTTGGAATGGTCAGTGTTGCTTTGGTGTTTTCTAAGTCCATTACTTGTAAAGGGAAACGGAAGAACTTGCCTTATGCAAAGGGATATGCCAAATGCAAAGAGCTATAACCACTCAAGCCACAACCTGGGGGCCTTTACTCCTGCAAAAGCAAATTGTTAAATCTCTTCCTACCTTGGGGAGCTTCTCCATCCAAGCTTATTGCCTAGGAACACCTTCTCCAACTCCCCCCACCCCCCCCATCTCTTGTTCTCACTCAACTGTACTGCACTTGGTTGGGAAATGGAGATTTTTACCATACCCCTCCATCACTCAAAAGGAGGAGCTGCTGCCAATGTGATCTTCAAAAGGGCTTTACTCCTTGTATGGAAAAAATGAA